CAGCCAAAGCCGTTGCACTGAAAGCCCTCTTCTCCATTACATATTTTTCACACAAACAACAAACTGTTGTCCCCACTGTTGGCCTTTGAGTTGTTAGTCAGCTGCTGACCTCATAATCTGCACAGCTGTGGCTTCCCCGCGTTGTCATGGAACAGATTGGAATGTCTTAATGGATCGCTTTCAGAGGTTACAGTTGTCAAGTGAGACCAGCCTGCTGATTCTTATTAGCTAAATTAAGCTGTGTTACAGCAGAACTGGCTAATTCATTATAATGGCTGGGAAATCCAATGCAAATTGCCACATTTTATAGAACACATCCAAGGCTGTGCTTTCTGATTTTTCCTTCTGTGAATGCTGTACCCCAAATATGGTTTTATTACCTACTTAAGGACTTTCTTGGAATGGTCAGTGGAATGTAATCTTGCTGCCCTTATGCATGATGGTGGTGAGTCAGAGCAAGCCATGCAATACATGGTTTCCAATAGGCACTGATGTGCATGGTTCAGATGAGCTTGAAGGACTCAGTTGTGGGTAATGGATGTTAAGCCCTACCCAAAATTACAAGAAGATTTCACTCTTCCACGTTGTCTGAAAGAGTGTAGGCTTCTAAATGACAAGGTAATGCATTAGACATCGCCTGACCCTAAGTCACTCCTTTGTGCCTTCATTTAATAAAGTCTTTGTGATGGAACTGGCCTAGAAACCCCATGTTCAAGTGTCTTAATAGACTCATCCACTTTGGGCAGACCTCTTCTACCCTGGGGTCTAGTCTATCAGCTGCTTACTGCAGTTGATCAAAGTGATACACAATTTATTCATTACAGAGTTGTTTTTGTTTAATAGTACCACAGGTAGCCCAGACTAACCTCAAATTCTCTAGATTACTAAGGACGACCTTGAACTCTTGATCCTCCTGCCTCTACTTCTCAAGCGCATGAATTGCAGGCATCCATTACCATGCCTGTTGATCACAGGGGTATTTATTTTAAAGGTTTGTTTATTTTTATTGTATATGTGTATGCATGTATTTTGGAAGTATACTGTATGCATGCTGAGTGCTCACAGGCCAGAATCAGGTACAGGATCCCCTAGAATCACAGACGGTTGTAAGCCACCATGTACTGGGCACTGAGTCACTGCTCTGTGCAAGAGCAGGAAGTACTTGGAACCATGAAGCCATTTCTCCAGGCCTGATTGCAATGTTCTAGGCATATCACAAATGGGCCTGTGTGGGTCCAGTAGGCTGTGTTTTCTCTAATTCTTAGTATTGACCACTCACACAGACGCCTTGCCTGATGTGTACGTGTTACAGGAGTAAAGAGAAAAGAAAGCAAACCAGGTTAAGCCAACACCATAAGTGTGGGCTGCAGAATACTCCAGAAAGTACAAAGACATTTATCCAAGTATTTTTTATAGTAGAAAGTCAATCAGATAATAGGTGGATGCCCAGCAGTAGGCCAATAGATACATTATGGCCTATCTACATAATTGAGCAATGAACAGGCATTAAAATCTTCTCCAGTGATTATTTACTGATATGGGAAGGGTCAACACAAAATTAAAAGAAAAACCAAAGGCACTCAATTGTGTAATTGGCATCTCTCAACCTGCCTACAATAGCCTACGTAGAGAGAGGAAAATATGTGTCATCATTGTTGAGTGATGGGTGGGAGCAGTGGCTTGCTTTCCCTGTTTCAACCCTTTTATCTTGTGGTCCCACTTTCCATGTAGTAGCCAACATTGCAGCTCAGGTCATGTGCTCCCTTGTCAAAGCTCTCCATTGCACAGGAAGTCATAGGACCCATGATTCATGGCTGCCACCTTTCTGACGCTGATACCCACCCACTGTGTGCATGGCTCTCTGGAGCACATTGTTCTTCCTCACCGTCTTCAAAGAATTCGCAGTGGCTTTCGCTTGGGTATCTCCATGGCCAGGCCCTTTACCCCGCTCACCTTTGTCAGCAGTGCCTCCTGGTGGCTCTCCACTGCTCCCAGGAGTGCCCACACAGACACACATGCACTAGCACACCTCCACATGTATGAATTTCCACAGTGCATAAAACTTCTCTATGATGAACCGATCACCTCTGAATGTATTATACAGGATGGTGAAACATGATGTGCTCATGTAAAGAAGCACAACTTCAGTGTAAGTTTCGTGCCGTCAGGAATTCTAGTGTGTAAATTCTTAGCTCAGTTGTACCTCTTGGAACTGTATCTGCTGTATGGGAGGCACCCAGAAACTGCTGTAGGGAGCACCATCGACAGGAAAGGTGAGCAGTCGCAACTGTGCGGTCATTGTCCAGGTGGTTTTCTGAGCTGTGTTACCTAGCATTTTTCTAGATTGCCACAGCTCGACTGAGCCTGCTGATTAGCTGATGTGTTTCCTCTTGATTGATTCTTTCTTTCCCTCTAAAATGGTTCTAAACTAATTGGGAAACTCCATTTCTTCTCTAGTATTTAGCTCAGTGTTCAGATGTTTTTTAATTAGTTCTTAGAGAGATTCATACCTGTTTTGACTGTATTCTTCCTAGGTCCACTTCTCTTCTTACCCACTCCTAGCAACGGAGCTATCAACAGTTGTTAGTTGCTAGGGAGAGAAAGACAGTTCTATCTTAGCTTTTTTCACTCTTAGTTTCTCTAAGAGTGTAGACTGGTAAGTCAAGTGGAAGACCACACATCTGAGAATATTTAGGTGCCATAAACTTGTCTTGAAGTATTAAAAAAAAGATAACAAGACATAAAGTGTTCAGACTCTTAATAGATTATTTTAAATCCATTTCTTTCATTTCCTAATTTTAAAAAATTGAGCAACCAATCTATTCCAGGGACCTCTGTTGAAGCCAGAGGCAAAAGCATTATTCTTACAAGACTTCACTGTCTAGATGGAAGATTTGGCAGGGGGAAAGTTAGGACAGGACCCTGTTTTAGAGAAGCTGTTCTTCAGTAGGCACAAAATACATTTGGGTTCAAATTCAGGATCAGAAGGTGCAGTCTTATAAGAGGTGGATGAGAAAGATGCACATTGCCAAAATGTTTTCCTCTTGCTGTTTTGAAGATGGAGTAATTTTTCCTGTGAGAAAGAAACAGCAGCTGGGTGATGGTGGTGCATGCCTTTAATCCTAGCAGAGGCAAGCAGATCTCTGTGAGTTCGAGGCCAGCCTGGGCTACAGAGTGAGTTCCAGGACAGGCACCTGTAGATGTAACCAACTGTCTTATTAAATAAGAAACACAGAACCAATGCAAAGAAGAAAGCCAAGAGGTCAGAGCTAAGAGCTAAAAACCTTACCATTCCTCTTGTGGTACTCCTACCTCTCCGAAAGAGACCTACTTCCTGTGTCTGTCTTTTTTTATAGAGTTTCTGTTCTGTCTTCTCATTGGTTGTAAACCCAACCACATGACCTCCTAGTCACTGCCTGTCTGTACAGACCTCCAGGTCTTCTATGGTTGGTACTGAGATTAAAGGCGTGTGTCTCCAATGCTGGCTGTATCCTTGAACACACAGAGATCTACCTAGCTCTGCCTACCAAGTGCTGGGATTAAAGGCGTGCACCACCACCGCCCAGCTTTCCTATGACTTACTAATAGCTCTGACCCCTGGGCAACTTTATTTATTAACATACAAATAACATTTTAGTACAAATAAAATATCACCATAGGCACCAAAGCTACATAGAGGAACTCTGTCTTGAAAAACAAAAAACAAAACAAAAAAAAGTGAGAGAAACAGCAAAAGTAATGTGTGTGATTATTTTATGTTATGGTTTTTTGAGACAGGGTTTCTCTGTGTAGCTTCAGAGCCTGTCCTGGAACTCACTCTGTAGCCCAGGCTGGCTTCAAACTCACAGAGATCAGCCTGTCTCTGCCTCCTGAGTGCTGGGATTAAAGGTGTGTGTCACCACCACCCAGTGATTATTTTATTATTTAGAAAACAGAATAATGCAAAGAGCAGGGAGCCCTGCAGGTGAGTTAGAAGATGCAGCCTTAGTGGGCCTGAGAGATGGCTTAGAGGTTAAGAACATGCACTGCTCTTGTAGAAGACCTTAGTTTGATTCCCAGCATCCATGTCAGGTGGTTCACGGTGGCCTGTGGTTCTATCTTAGAGGATCTGATTCCCTCTCTTGGTCTCCATAGGTGTTTGTGTGAATATGCTCACACAGAGAGAGACGCACAAATATACATACATAAATAGTAAAATAAATGTAAAGTCAAGGAGATCCAGACTTTGAAGATATAGGCTTAGAAGCTCTAATTTAGAGGATCTGGATTTAGAAGGTGTGGGCTTGGCTCCTCCACTGGAATTTGTGTTAACTACTAGCTGTGAACATCAGTGTTTTGCTTCTGAGTCTTGTTAGTTCCACTGGGGAGCTTTTGAGGCTTTCAAGATGTGTGCATTCCTCTCCATGTTCTCAAGAGAGGCCTTTCCTTGTCCACCTAAAACCAATTTAAGCTCAAAGGGCCATTAATATGACAACTTGGGGGTATTAAACCTCTGTGTAATATTTTTGCTGTCTTAAGGGAGTCTGGGTTGTGTATGTCTCCTTCAGGCCTGCCTCATCTTCTGTCTTCTTCACGCGTTTATCAACTGCCACCTGCTCATGCACACATATCACTGTAGTACGTCACACATGCCAAGAATCGTGGCGCTGGGGTTTCTTTCATAGCCACCATCCTTATTGTAGAAATCAAATAGTTTCATATTTTCTTACTTCATTTGAAATTACAGGTCTAAACTTATAAAACTCATCATTTAGAGTGAAAACGAATGACTGGTTTTCCACATAATTTTAAACTGGCGTGGGGATGCAGAAAGTAATCATTTTTCAACAGTATGTATTTATTTTTCTAACAGAAGGCCCATTGGCAACTTGCTAGCCTGTAGCAGAGCCTGCAGGGTAGATGTGTCTCAGATAATTCCGTACACAGTAATTATGCAGTAAGCGGCACTTTGGTCGCTCGAGAGCTCGTTTGACCACGGTCTTCCCTTTCCTCTCTTTCAGCCTCTGCAGCTGGACTGCGGCCATTGTGCCATCGTGTCGAACTCGGGTCAGATGGTTGGACAGAAGGTGGGAGAGGAGATAGACCAGTCCTCCTGCATTTGGAGAATGAACAACGCCCCCACCAAGGGTTTTGAGGAAGATGTTGGCCACGTGACGATGGTTCGCGTTGTATCACATACCAGTGTTCCTCTTTTGCTAAAAAACCCTGACTATTTTTTCAAGGAGGCAAGTGCCACCATTTATGTTATTTGGGGCCCTTTCCGCAACATGAGGAAGGATGGAAATGGCATTGTGTACAACATGTTAAAAAAGGCAGTTGATAACTATCCAAATGCACAGATTTATGTGACCACAGAGCAGCGGATGAGTTACTGCGATGGAGTTTTTAAGGAGGAAACTGGGAAAGACAGGTGAGTCCTCTCTGAAAGAGCCTCGTTGACTTTTATTGTCCTTTATGGTGACTCTTTGCTGAGTCCCTTTGCCAGCTATCAAATGAACAGAGTTATTTTTTAAACCAATTGCTACATGGTTTTGATTATTATGATTACTGCATGATCTGACAATGAGGTCCCATTAATTCCGCCCACACTGCCTTCTGTTCACTCCGTTTTAACAGGTTTGAAGCTCTGAAAATGGTGGATAGTTCTCTAAAATGTCTTTAGATCTCTTCCTATGTAGCTCAATTTGTTATTGATTAAATTGGATTTTTGGCTAAAAGAGGACATCTTTACATTCTGTTTCAAAGCACAAATACTCGGGAATTTCAAGGATTTTAATCCATCTTAACTGGGAATTGTGGCTCCTTCCACCCCCTTGAAACCAGACAGAGAGTAGACTATTGATCCTCTAATATGATTGTGCAGATTCGTACATAGTAATAGCCCTGTGATCTTGAACACTACACTGAATAAAATACTGTATTGACATTATGTATTCCTTAACATCCTTAGCACTTGGATTCTTAAAGAGAAATGAAGTATAAATATCCTTTGCTCAATTATTCAAAACCATCCTATGTTTTTGTTGCATGCACTTCTCTGCCCCATTCCATCAATCACTGTCCCCACCTTCTCTGCTCCAGGCTCATTCTCCTCTTCCTCATCTTCCGCTTCCTCTCCTGGCTCCCTCATGGCCCTCACTTCTCAGGCAACTCTACCATCTGCTGGTTTTCCTGCCTCTTGAGAAAGAACCAGAAAAGTGAGGGAAGCAAAATTACAAACCGATCAATCTTGGCTGATATTCAGCACTAATAAAGAATTGCTGAAGAAGATTCAGAAACCTGTGCCTGAAGTTTTAGATTATATGTGAATTTTGCTTATTTGTGCAATACTATGAATAAATTGAGCTTCGACTGTAATTGCAGTGCTAACATTCCGATTTCCTTAAAATGCATGCCTGTCTTTTACTGCTCAATATTATCGGATAGAAAGTTGTAACTATTGGGCAACTGGTTGTGGAGAGTTGGGATTTGCCATTTCCTGGTGTAATTTCAATGCTTATCATACACTGACAATCTTGGCAGGGGACTTTTTGTGGTCTGTTTTTTCAGCTCACTCTCCCCTACGTGCACCCCCAAGAGTGCCTTTTTTAGGTTCTTAATAAATGACATATATTGTATTTTATCACATACATGCATGGACACGCACATATACACATGCACATACAGAGACACATATACACACACACAGTCATATGCATGTGCACACATGTACACACTCAGGCAGACCAATGGACCTATTGATAGTGTGGGGTGATTTTCACTTAGTGTTTCTACTTCTGAGCCCCTGAAACAGTTTCACCTGAAATGCAAGACAGAACAACACTTTAACATGAGTCCCTCTTTTGCAGGAAGAACCTCAGAGGTTAGATCCAAACCAGTATAGCTTAATTCATCCAAGCAGAAAGGCAGATCTTGTGTTTGCAAGAACTGCACTCACATCTAGCTCCATTCTGTATGAGTATGACCATTCTCCTGGGGCTCAGAAACCTCTGGTCTCTCACTAGCCCCGAGCAATGCAATTAATTAGATGTATTTGGTTTTTCATTAGAGCTATCCCTTAGGGTATCCCTCAGTTACAATGATAAGCCTGAGGATCATTTGGGGGTATCAGAGAAGAGCTTATTGTGGTATTTGTTCCTGGTGCTTGAATCACGTTGGTTTTTACTGTGAGCTTTCATTGAGACAGCTCTGTCACAGAAGCACGGCTGCAGAATGATTAGAGAATAGCATTGGGAGGTGGTTTTTTGTGTCTGTGATGAGTAAAGCTGCTTATAGGGTGTCGGTTTTGCTGTCTTGGTACAGTTAGTTTTCAGATATCTATCAATGGGGTTACCAAAGCTAAAGTTCTTTTAGAGGTCAGAAGACTTGATGGGTACACGTTTGCTTCTTTTGTTTTCTTTCTCCACGGTGTTAGCCTTTCCATTGTTATTTCACTGTGTTGCAGACTGGAGAATTAAAGTCTCTAAGTTCTTTAGAACTCAGTAGAAGGGATGACAAGTAGAATTTGGCTGGTCAGCATGCTGTTGACAAAAATGACCTCAAAGGCTTCCGTCTCCATTATGATTAAAATCCAGCCCTGCTTGTGCTGAATATAATGATTTTCCATGGTTCTCTGGCACACGATGACAAACTTCAGACAATATCTCTGAGTACGTAGATGTTTGTTGTATACACATGTGTACTCACGTGGAAACTGGAAGCAGAGGTCTAGCGTTTTCCTCTCACTCTCCACCTTACTGTTCCAGACAGGATCTCTCATTGAGCCTGAAGCTTCCCATTGCAGCCAAGCTGCCTGGGCAGTGAGCTGCCAGTTCTGGACGTGCAGACGCTCAGGGCTCTGCCAGGCTTTCACATGTGTTTTGGAGATTTAAACTGAGTTCGGTTTTGCATCAAGGAAGGGTTCATACACATTGAGCTGTATTCACAGCCTCAAAAGTATCTTCACAAAACTTGTTATAAGGAAAATGTCAAATGCACGCAGCAGAGCCTGCTAGTCTCATCGTCTCTGTAAAGCCAGCCCTCAGCTGGAGGATTTACTATCTCGTGACCAGTCTTAGTTCAACAGTATCCCACACACTTTCTCCTTCCCCAAACATTATTTTGAAGGGAGCTACAGATATCATTGTAGTCCATCTTTAAATAGTTTACTGTGTATTTTAAAAGACAAAAGAAAAGCTCTACATCCTACATGGAAATACAAACACTTCCTTTATACCATTTTGTGTTTCCCTGGCTTGCAATGGTCAACAGTTGTCTTGTACATATATTTTAAGTATTAGTTTGAATCAGGATTAACATATGGTCGATGCATTATAATTGAGTGTTGTATTTCCTGTGTGGGTACTTACTCATATTGCTGTTTGCCTACACCACTTATCATTGAAGAAACCTAGCCACTGAGTTTTCTAGCATGTAGTTAGTTTTATTAACTTCTCCTCATATTATTTCTTCTACGTTTGTTTTTATGTATTGAGATTGACTGGATTCAGATCCAATTAGTATTTATTTCTTTGCCAAGAGCATCCTGTGATGCTTGTAAAGGAAGAATATCCTGTGATTGTCTCTTTTTTATGGTAGAAATCACTAATGCTAACTGTCTGGAGGCAAGCATTTATTAGGGTTGCCCAAAGGTAGGGTTTTATCTTATCTTTTGACTGCTGGTCTACTCTGTAGAGAGAAGCTTGCCCTCCTTTGGTTACCATCAGACAGAAGACTGACTGGTTCTGATGTGTTAGTTTTTTGGCATCCTCTGAACTGACCTGCGTGTTCATAACTTCTAATATTTACATACTGACTAACGGTTAAGTGTATCTGTATTTTTGTAGTTCAATTTATTATAAAGCACAATGTATGCTATGAATGTGTTTTTTTAGCCCATGGGAACCTCTTCAAATTGGTTTTACATGCTTTTGATGTTCAATAGAGGTCATGGATAGCTTCCCTCCTTCCTCGTATTGTAGGTACTTCAGCACTTACCTACATCCTCCTGTGGACCTGTATTCAGACACTCTCCAAAGAGCCTTGGTTCTTCTAGTTGTTAAAAGAACATAAACCATTGCACTGTGGAATTCATTATTACAAAGTTGAATTTTTTTCTTGGCCTTTAGAGTGGGCAGAGATAGACTATAAACAATATATGCTGTGTGTATTGTTTATAAATAAGATCACCATGTGTCTTTCCATTCAAACTAAGGCCCAGGCTTTTACCTAAACATGCATGTCTTATGACTGTGTCTTCTTTCTGGCAGGCTACCAGTCAAAGGTCCCAGGAACAGCATTGCAATTAATCATTTCCTTTATCTTGCAAAACATAGTAAACTTTGAGTAATGGCAAATCAGCTATGTAATCATTGCAAGCCTGTTAGGAGTACTGTGCACCAAAGATGTTTAAATGGCAGGCATTCGTGCCAGACATGTAAGGCTGTACTCACAGGACGTGTGCTGGGTGTGTCTCCCTCGAAGGTCATGATGTTTTCCTCTTAAGTAACTAGAGGGGATGCTGTGGTGTGCACACTTGGTTGCAGACAGAAAGGAATAGGGAACAAGGGGTCTCCATTTCAGTTTGCTTTTGTTGTAAAGCTGTTTCATTCCCTTTGACTTCCAGAATTCATCAGTAAGTTCTCATTTTCGTCTTTATGTGTTATTTGGTGGGGCTCAAACTCATGGCCTTAGACCTGTCAGGCAAATACTGTACTGCTGAAATAACGTCCCCAATCACCAGATTCTAATGGAGAGATCATATCACTGTCAATTTACAGGCTTACAATGTTGATGTTACTGATATTTAAAATAATTTTTGATAGAAACATTAGGTTTAGTTCCTCAAAAGAAAATACTTCTTAACCAACCTTCCTTCCTTCCTTCCTTCCTTCCTTCCTTCCTTCCTTCCTTCCTTCCTTCCTTCCTTCCTTTCTGTCTTTCTATCTTTTGTCTTCCTTTTTTTTTTTTTCAGTCATCAAAGTTCTTTTTGAAAAACACAGCCTTGGGTTGACGAGATGGCTCAGTGGATAAAGGTGCCTGTCTCCATACCAAGGACACAAGTGTGATCTCTGGGATCCAAATTGTGGAAGGAGAGGACTGATTCTTAGAAATTGTTCTCTGATCTCCACACATACTCTATGGTGCATGCATGAACATGCACCCTTAACACACAGATAAACATGTTGGCTAGGCACGATATTTTCATTTTCCCAGAGCTTTCTTTCTTTCTTTATTTTTTCCAATGTGTAGTGGTGGCAACAATGTCAGACCCTTACATTTCTTGGACCAATCCTAGACTAACCCTTACATATACTGGAATACTTTTCAAACCAAATGAGAATCAATTTGTTCTCATATTAGTTACTGCCTAAAGCTCTGGCTTGGGAGTCAGTATGGCCTGTGGGGAGCCTGGCAGCCGGCACAGAGGAC